AATAAAAAAAATAGAGAAATTGATAGATCTGTTACCTTTAAAAGCTTCGTTTCGTCTTTACAAATTTCGATTTCCTCTGTAAAAACTTCGAGAGAGATAGCGATGCCGATTAGGGTATCAGGGAGAAAACGAGAGATTGTGTTTTGTGACAGAGGCAAAGTTGTCCGTTTCTGTTAAATATGTGGTATTTTTGTAAACGCGCATGTCAAGTGGCACGCTTGTAAATAGAGCTTGGGTTTGTGGTATTTTTGCAAATCTTCCTTAAATTTTTAAACCGTTTTAATTTATGGATTTGTTGAAAAAAGATTAAAAATATTTTACTAGCATTTAGGTTTAAAAGTTTTTGTTGAGCTTACATAAGAAATTACAAGGTTTTGTATACTAATACAAGGGTTTATGTAAGACTCTGCAAAAACAAAAAATATCAGTTTAGAACAAGAGGTTGACTGAATACTCTTCTACTTCTCAACAATTACTATATTGGCAGCAAGAGTCACGAAAATCACATATAAAACTATAAAATGGAGGAAAATTGTAATGCTGTTGATATAACCAAAGCTATTGAACAAAAGAAAACAAAAATTAAGTAACAAAAAATAAATCGAAATTAACGTTTTATAAAAAAATAAGTGGAAAGATCTCTAATTATCTCAGTCCCTGGATATTTCATGAATTTGTAACCAAACTCACTACATATGCCATTGTAAAACTAGGTTTGGCCGTCGAAGGGTTCAAAGAGAAAGGAATGAATGACGACAAACTGCTCCAAAAAATTTGACATTAACATAATGACAACATAAATCATACACACGACTTTAATTAATACTGATCTCACCTACAAATCCGGAATCAACTTTATCAGATATGCATTCCAATGATTAATCATAATCCTATGAAAATTAAGCCAAGAATATTTTTCCTACAAATAGGGGAACAAACACACAAGGAAAAGAACAACCGAAAACGAGCAACAATAACAGAGAGATATTAGAAGCAAACAAATTTTCATCAGAAACTAGATTGTGAAAAGTCTTTATTCTTGTTGTCTTGCTACCTATTTTGTACCAATAAAAGGAGATATTCATTATTCAAATTCTCTATTTTCTGTAGTCTCTAACGAATCGATTTTTTTTGCCAAAACACATACATGTCTAAATACATGGACATGTGTAAATATAACATCGTTGATCAGAGAACGTCATCCAAGACATAAAACATCAATTACAACTCTCTGCTTTTAGTGAAACTTGATCAATGTCTGGAACATAAATGGTTTTCCGATCCATCCAAGTAAGATAACACGAAATGTGTTACACGTTTCATCAAATTAGGGTACTTATTTACGAACCAAACTGAGATACCGCGCTTGAGGTCGTGATATATAAACCTTACATGGTATGGAACATTATAGGATCTCATGTCATCAAAGTAGTTATATCACAAAGCTGTAGAAATATGTTCCTATACCATGGTCATATCACTACAATTTTATCTATCTTCGCTGCATGCTCCGTCATGCATCTCCAGTTCACCAATCCTCTCACTCATTGCCATTGGGCAACCTATTCAGACCATATTTATTGTGTTCTTTAGAAAAATGTCATGTTATTCATATACAAAGGCACTAACGAAATCGACTAAAATTTTAGTTGTGTTCTTCTATTACACCTAAACCTCTTTTGGTAGATTAGTATTATTACATTATGTGTAGTTGGTCCTTGCTTTTTTGAAACTCCTCAGTATTAAAATGTTCACCAAAGTACTTATGCATTAGGTTGAAACGTACACGTCATAGCACATCAAACATGCTTAAGTACCTTTTAATCTACTATACCATTTTTCTTCATTATCTCAAATGGTAAATATAATATCTCATGGAATTGTACTTTGATGTTATATTCTCCTTATTCTCTCTACTAAGACGACATGACAAGTTATCCATCATTCAAATCCTCAGAGCAAACTTGTTTTGTTCTCTTAGATTATTGATAAACGCCTATCTAAGCTATTTTTACATTAAAATATCAGTCATTTTCTAGGTAAAATTGCATAAGTTTAAGTAAATTAGGCCATATATGTCTAGGTCTCTCATTATATTGTAATTTGTAGGTCCAAAATAGTAAAACATGGCACTTATGATGACCACGAATATATAACTTAAGCAACTCGTGCAAATTTTTACCATAGGGAAATACTCTCCACATGTGGTACAAATTAATTAGTAGGTTATATGTTAACAATTTCAAAAGTAAAAAAGCAGAGAGTGAGGGTGAGAGAGTTGTGGCAAGTAAGACGAACAAATTGTAGGCTTGTAGCTAATAAGTAGTAATAATATTTTATCAAAAAAAAAACGTAGTAATAATATGTAACACTAGCCAAAACCCAGAAATTGAGAGAGACAAAAAAGAGAGTACAAAGCACTATGACGTGCAAAAATATCGTAATATTGTTTTACATCGGAGATTTTATTCACTTCATAATTATATAAAATATATGTCTTTGATGTATCAACCTTGGATCTGGAACGTGGAACACTTGATGGATCCAATGGAAATGTCGATTTCAATGAGATTATCGTCTTCAAACTCAGCTAACAGTTGGATAAGCCTGAAATCTTGGAGGTTGTTGGAGAGACAAATCTGGTTCTTGTTGTTGATGGCACAATCTTGTTGTCCATTCATAGTATTGTAATGATGGCCAACGTAGTTACCACTTGGTAAGGAGAGCTCTATGAAGCTTTCCTCCTCATTATCGATGTAACCTAAAGAGTCTTGTTGACCAAGATCTTGATCTTGAACCTTTGAGTCTAATAGGGTGTTTGGTTTTGGGATAGGGAGAGTGAAGAAGAAAGAAGAGAAGAACAAAGCAGCTGAGGTAAGGAGGATTTGTGGTAAGCCGAGTCCTATAATGTGAAGAAGTGGTGGAGCAAAAAGAGACACCCATGAAACTGGTCTCTTAAAAAGCAATGAAATAAAACTCACCAACTCCTTCATTATTATGCTTTCAAGATTCATATGAAAACAATTACTTTGTAGTTCCACCAAAAAAGATAGAAGAAATAAGAGTTCAACCATTTTATCCCTTAGAGAAGAAAAATAAAGTAAAGACGATAATGTTAGATCCAAGTACTCTTTAATAACATGCAAAACCCCTAAAACAGAATATGAGTTGATGAAAAAAATACGAAAAGAGAGTTATAGCTTACGATCAGGACCACTTTAATGTTCTACGAGACTTATACTTATCTCATATAGAACAAAAAAAAAAGAGTACTTAAGAGGGAGGAGGATTTCTAAGAAGTGAAGTACGTAAATCTATTTGAGATGATAAAATAGGAAAGCGTATATATAGGAAATGAAGAAGAAGATTTAGCAACGTGAACTAGAAGAAAGAAAAAGCAGAAGCCATTCTAATTTTTGTTTTGCATTGAGATTTGAGGAGCAACAGTTCGAATCCAAACTAGCCGATCTCCCCGATTGGCGAGATTATTCGGATCCCAAGATATATTAAAAATCGATAATTTTTAATGGTCATTGTTTTTTTTTCTTTAGTCACTTAAATGTGCGTCATGCGGATGAATATACCAAAACGGGACGTATAATACTAGTCATCACCCGTTTGTTTATTCATCCGAATGTGGAATCTGAATATTGAATGTAAGATTGTTTGTTTGTAAAGAAATGTAGATGTCATTTTGTATCAATAAAAGAAATTTTCTTTAAATTATTTTCTTTAAAATCATAATTTATATATTCGGATCAAACAACATTTATAATGAAAAAACTTAAAAAAACAAAAATTTACAATGAAATATTAATTAGGACTGGAATATTTCAATCAAATTGTCTTTACTTTTTTTTTCTTCTTAATTTATTAAAAACATGTGATCAATTACAACATGGTAATACAAGCATAAGAACAGAAAAGCTCGGGAAAACAAGTAGACTACACATGACGAAAAAAAATACCAATAGCGATGTGACTCCGCTGCGACGGTTTGGTGTTGTGCTATTTTGGCACGACTGCTTCACGTCAGTTTCTTTACGCATTGACACATTTATGTACCATGTAAGTTTGCTATCGTTGCGGGTAGAGGTCATCAACCGGATTGGTCCAAAATATGACTAGTTTCTGAGTCTCTTGTGAACCATTTCAGGAAAGCTCTTCCAAGAAACCAATTGTCTTGTTGCTTCGCTAGTTGGAGTATTTTTTTATGTTGTATGTCTTGTCCTTGCTTGATTGGAAGGTGTAAAATGACTCCA